GGACGACAGGAATAAAGCTTCATTAAAACTAATTAAAAATGAACTTTTAGTTTACTTAAATCTTTGTTTGCCATGTTTAGAGGCTATTAATGTATTTAAGAGCGACAGCAATTTGTTACTGGCTGCTAGGTGTAACAAAAAATATGTTTTTAAAAACAAAAAATTAAATACTTTTTTTAACCTTTTAGTCGAGAAATACTTCATGTAAAGCCTGAAAAGGTGGCAACCCTAATCACAGTGGCAAAATTGTAGGGTGCTAAATTTGCCAAGAATTTCCCTTACGTAAAGGGCAGACATGGTTAGGTACCTAAATTCGACTTGTGTCTATCTCATGCATATTATGCATGAATAACTATGAATCTGTGGCACGAAGGGTAAATGTAAATATGCTAATAATTTTTCAATCCATGCATATTTTACGTAGGTCTGATATCCTTGAGTCTATTTACGTTAAAATCAGGGTAACAATACATAAATGCATGAACGTACGTAAATGGAACGAATTAAGGGATGCTTGATTTACGAAATTTTTTTCGGTTTCACTGCGACGTGTTAATTAAAATATCACCACCATCACACCAAGTATAAAAGCATCGTTAATTTTCAACTAAAACATAGAAGTGCTTCATCCTTCGAAACAGCAAGGACGAAAGGAACTAACTAAATATCTCAGGTAATACAGATACTATATTTTTAGTTGTTTTTTAACCTATAAGTCGATAAGGTTTTGGTTTTGTTTTCTGTCTTATTTGTTATACCTCGAAAGTTTTTTTTTTAATACCTACAGTCTTCTTTTATTCTGAAACATATATTTATAGTTTTTATGTTGTTTTTAAAAGGGAAATATCAATGCAATTTGCTATTTCTACATAGATAAAGGATAAACAATAGTTCTAAAACTGACCTGTCGGTCACGACGATCACGATCAAAAATAATGACAACAATTTTCAATTAAGTATATAAGAATTACAAAATCGAGTCTTATTATTTGTACGTGTTTAGTTTAGAACGTCAGCTTTATTATCCCTGTTATTAAGTGCTTTAAATTAATTATTATATTATACGTAGTACATGTTCGCAGGTATTAATGAAAATTAGAATGATGTTTATGAATTGCGTTGTCTCGTACTTTCAGAAGCAATGGTACGACAAGGAATTTCATTATGCTTAAGCATTATCTTAATAATTGTTTTCTTAAATGAAGCGGAGCAATCGGCAATGAGGGAAGCTAAACATTTTTGCGGAGAAAGATTGTCGAATATGCTATACCTAGTGTGTGAAGGCGCTTATAATGGACGTTACAAGAAAAATGTTTACAGTAAGTTTATACCTACAGGATAAAAAGTTATCTAGCCAAATAAGTCAGAATTAAAATTCTCTAAGATGTGATGTGAAACATCTTTGGTCGCGCCTGGGGGTAAAAGTCAGTCAAGTATGGCAAGACACGCTCACAGCTTTATTTGACTGACGGCTTTATTTTACCCAATTCCGATGTTTCGTATCTGTCAGGTGTCCAGAATGGCTAATTTATTTTGTTCACCGTCTCTTTGCTTTTGAATAACGAATTAAGAAAAACGTTTTTTCGTAACAACGTACTTTGGATAGTCATTGTTTTGACTTGTGTTAGCAAATTAAAAGAAATGCTACTACTGCAAAAAAAATTGGTGAGCTCAGAGTTAATTCTCCAAGTTTTTAGGTGCAAATTCCGACATTTTAAATCCCCAAAGCGGCTTCCTGGACTATTCATCCGAAGAAAGTGACACATCAGTTTCCACGTTTCCGTTTAAAACGAGAGAAAACGCAAATATGATGTTGTCTAGTGGAATGAGGAAACGAACCAGAGGAATTGTACAGGAATGCTGTATTAACAGTTGCACACTGATGGAACTTAGAGGATATTGTGCCGAAAGGAAATAGAAATAGGATTTTTTGAATTATCGGCGTGGAAGTTTGTAAAGTTTTTATTTTTTAAAATATATACCGCGTATCTACAATATTACCTATATTTTCGTAAATAAATATTTTTTTTAATATAAGAAAATACAGTGGACTTTTATTGACATGCGTTAAACGAAATAATTTAGTTATAACGCAAAGAAGAAAATGAGTAGATAGTAAAAATACATATTAATAATAATTTTGGTTGCAATAGCAAGAAATCTTACTACAATAGCGATATTCTTCAAACTAATTGAATTATTTTAATCACTTTACCTTCGGTGTAAGTGTAACAGTCGAGGGATGCTCTAGGGTAATAATTACGCATATTAGTAATAGTTCTTGCAGAAACACTTAAAAAGTACTATATTATAACGCATTTACTTTTGGAAACAAATTCGCTTACTAACAAATATTGGGGCGACCGTGCTGCCTTAAACATTACTCAGAACTACCAATGATGTTATGTTTGTTGTGTTAGTTTGACAGACAAAGGTAAAAACTCTATTTCAAAGATACTCTCTATATTCTAATACTTCTAACACGCACATTTTTTTTGATACATCGTATAATACATGAAAAGTAAGTACGTACTCCAGTTTCAGTCGCAGTAAGAACTCAGTTCCCACAAACTACATGATTTTTTGCAACACTCGTCAACCGCACGGATCCTAGTTTGGAACTGTGCACCGGGAATTCGTTTCTCATATTTTTTGGGGAACATTAAATGAGCTAATTCCTTCGGCAACAAAGGGAGCCGTACAGATTTAGTATCGAAAATTCGTGCATTTTCCAAACTGTTTGAAAAACCATTTCCTAAAATGTAAAGGACAATCTAACAATACAAAAATAATACACAAGCGGAGCACTTCTACATTAATTGTTATATTTGTAAGTTGTTTTTACTTACAAATCGTTTGATGTAAGTTAAATTTTGACGCAACGTCTTATAAACCTAGGCAAAAAAATCGCGATTTTTATTTATTAATCTATCCAGGGTTGTAAGTGTTAAGTGCAAATTTCGATGATATGGACAGTGGCATACGTTTTCGAAAATTTTGAATCACAAATTAAGCACTTAATCTTGACGTTCCACCCTTAAATTTTGATCTTATTTCTGAGCCTTTCTTTCGAAAGCAAATGAAAATACTTTTAAAAAATTTTAATCTGGAGTAATTGCGATTATCAGTCACGTTCTACATCTGCGCCAAATTCAAATAGTATTTATATCGCGAATTATAGTATTTACCATCATATCCTCCCCCATTAGTTCTTTTAATTCTGCCGCCGTAGTTGCAAATCATAGAAATTGTGCCAGACAGCCTCGAACCACAATAAACGCCTTTGATATTTTTCATTCTTTCCTCGGTTAAACCATCAGTCGCAATGCTAATACTTTGGGCACTATCAGCGCTCGTTTTTTGACAGCACCACACCATTACAATAATACAAAGAAGTAGCGAGAAAAACTTCATGACTTCAGAATGAAAAACAAATTTCTTTAATAACTGTAACTGTTAGTAGACGAACAAAATTTTGATAACTGCTACCTATTTGAAAACCTGTTTGGTTTTCGCCTGATGTTATTCGTGTGAAGCCAAAAACACTTGTTGATGTTAAGCGAAAATATTGAAAGCTTTATAGTACCCCTGTCGCTGGATATTAATTGTTAAGACGTGTTCATTCATTGAAATTTAAGGCGCAGTCCGCCTTAGCACTAACCCCTTTACACGTTGTAAATTAAGTACAAAAAGTTGTACATATTTTCTTGTATTCACACTAACTTTAGATAGAAAATCTTCAAAATATAAAGAGATTGACGAACGCGAATATTCAACTGGTATTTACGATGTACATTCTATTGTAATGTTGTTTAATACATACAAATACACTAGTTGACTTTATCTTTCCAAACACTATTTTGTAAATAGTTTTATCAAACTGATGCGCTTTCAAATTTGTTTGCTACCAGTTGATCTAGCTACGAAAACAATAACTTCGTATGCAGACAAAATCATGAATTTGATTCTGCATATGTACGAGGATTGACTTAAAAATGTTGTGTACAAGGGTGAACCGATCGGACGGGACTTTAACCTTGACTATAAACTAGAGTGGGTGGATCGGCTTGCGATTTTCGATGATTTAGGGAGCCGGACCGTAGGTTCAACCGTAATAGGGGGGTTCTTAAAGAGAAACCAGACTAAGACAAGTCCCTGAAAGAGGGCAGCAGCTCTTTCAGTACTCAGGGTGGAAGAGATCACGAGGGTCGGTATGGCACCCTGATGCACAATACTGCGATGTGGAAGGCAACGGGAAACCACCACATTATGATATCCCAAGAAAAACACACCAAACTGAAATAATGGCGTCCTCTGGGGTAAAACAGTCCGGACGTAAACTAGTCCTCCATTCGGATGTCCGGGCGGGGATCACCTCGGGGGATGTCGTCAATAAGTGCAATAGGGGTAGGTGCAATATTTCACGAGTCGGAGCGTGGAATGTTTTAGGACAATGAGGCAAGTAGGGAAATTGGAAAGTTGAGATGAATAGATTAGAATTAGATATAGTAGACATAATCCGTTGGCCCGTAGCTGGAGACTTCTGAAGTGGAGACTTTAGAATAATACATACAGGATTGGTGGAAGGTAATTCGGGAACAGGTATTGTAATACGTTGGAAAGCAGGGCAGAGTGTAGAAAGTTATTTACAAAAAAGCGATAGGATAGTTATGGTTAAATTAAACTCGAAGCCGGTAAAAACGGTATTAGGGCAGGTACATGCCTGCATCATCTTACAATGATGAAGACGTAGGAACGGTAGGACACCTTCTCAGGCATGAAGGTCTAGTTAGAGACATATTAAAGACAGAAACAGGAGTTAGGAGGAGTAGAGGTAGATCTAGATTAGATACTGTTCATAAATATGTAGTTAAGGATGTAGGATGTTCTAGTTTTAGGGAAATGCGAAGATTAGCTCAGATAGGAAAGAGTTGAGGTGCGTGTCCAACCAGTCTTAGGACTGACGACCTTATAATGATGTGCACGATATGTAAACTGAACTTTCAACGTAAATATTCTGTACCCGCCATATTCTCCGGATTTGGCTTCATTCGACTTCCATTGCTACCACCACCACAACAAACTAGCAGCGTACGTCGTTGATCAGAACCAGTGACTTTTTATCAACCAGAAGAATTGCCAAATTTTTAGTGTGTCCCCAATTTCCCCCAATTGTGCTCCCCTTACTTACATACATACGTAAATTATATTGAACAGATATTTGTTACACCTTCGCATTTTGAGGTAATATTATTGAAAACACCTTTCACGACTCGACAGTTAAATTAAAGGCCTGAAAGGCTTAGCATTAACGTAAGAGCCTTATTACGTGCAAGACTATTTTCTTAATGAGTTGCGTAATTATAATAACACAGGGATAAAATCTTTGACACTGTTTAGCGTGGTCGCAAAACTTGATTACCTCGAAGCTATTGGTATATTATGTATGTGTTGTGTATACATGTAAGCACCATCACTAAATGTGGTTCTTTCTTGTTTTTCCGTTCGCGTCGGGTAACCTCGACATCGAAAACACAGGTTTTCGTAAACTACTCCTTAGTCGATTGCTTCTAATTTCTATACACTACATTTAGAACGAAAATTGTTGAATATTAATGTCCTAAAGTTGTTCTTAGTATGAGGTTATTCCTCAAATCTATATTATCGTACAAGAAAATCGGGGATTCCAACACGTTGTAGTTATGGAATCAAGAAAGTCGTGTAGGTACTACTGAAAATTACCGACTTGACTCCAAAAACCTGTGTACATTTTATACATGTTGTCTAACTTAAAAGTACAAATGGAAATGTTGAGTGACCAAATTACCAAAGCCTAAAAATAAAAATCATAATAATGGGCTCGTTCACTCTTTCGATCTCCGAGACTGTCGCCTCTTGTAGACGATATTCGTGGGCAGCGGAAACGCTAAAGAAATGCAACAGGGACCCAAGCGTGGGCCTCAATGAGAACTGTTCGGATTGATTTTGACGCCACTTGAAACTGAACTTTATACCATCAGATTTTATCTTTCATAATAAAAATTAAATATGAACAGTTGGAAGTTCTGTGAAAGTCAGTAAAAAATAGGCGAGATGGGTTAGCAGGATACCTTATCAGGAATGAAGGTCTAGTCAGAGACATATTAGAGGTAGAAAGAAGAAACGGGAGTTAGAAGGGGTAGAGGTAGACCTAGATTAGATTACTGTTCGCAAATAGTTAAGGATGTGGGTTGTTTTAGTTTTAGGGAAATGCGAAGATTAGCTCAGGATACGAAAGAGTGGAGGTACGTGTCCAATGAGTCTTAGGACTGACGACCTTAGGATGGTGTTGAATTATTACAATTTAATTTGTAATATCAACTAAAACACGTAGTAAATTAATTTTTGCTGGGATTTTATTTTTACAAAATAAATTGTAAATATCCCTTTAATAATTAGGTAAATTTTCCTTTATCATTTTCTCCGTGAATACAAGGAACCACGATTCATGAAAGCAAAACGAGTTATAACACTGACTGGCGACGGACTGACGACCCTATGATGATGATGAACAGTTGGTGTTCGTTTATTATTAGGTACTGGAATATTCATCAGTGTAGGGTTGTCAGTCCTGAGACTAATTGGACGCACACCTCATCTCCTTCCTGTCCTGAGTTAATTTTCCGAATGGGAAAATTTTAAATTTTCTTAACGCAAAATTCAATTGTTTGAATTTGCTGCCTAAAATTATAATACTTTCTGAAAGGACCCTGCTACGGATGATAGTCCTCTGTGAAATTATTGAAGCTTTGCATTCTGGTAGTTCTCGACGTGTGTCTCAAATGGCGCTAAGTTGTAAAAACTTGTCTTTTTGATAAATTGTTCATATAAGTTTTGCAAACCATCTCTAGTGGATTATGTGTGTAAATGAAAAGGACCCTGCTAGATCCTTACGAAAAATGGTCCTCTGTCAATATTGTAAAATATTGCGTTTCAATGAATTTGACAGAGGGCCATTTTCCGTAAGGATCTAACAGGGTCCTTTTCAGTTACACACATAATAAAACTTTACGCAATATTTTGTTATTTTCCTCTACTAACCTTTTTAATCTGTCAGACGAATGAAATTATGTATTGGTTATTCGTAATTTGTTTGATATTTTACATGTGTTAACAACAAAATTCCTCGTCTAAACAAGAAAATATCCGTATATAAGGAAATTTCGCTACGGTGATTAATTATTGCATTTAAATCCCGAAATATTTTTGTATGTAAAGTTATTCTCTGAGTTGCCAACGTCTTATTTGTAAAGTTATCATTATTCATCTTCATCCAACTATATTTAACGACATAATTAACAAGAATATTAATGACACTAAATGACAGTCGTAAAATAGGTCACCGATTAGTGATGTGTTAGGTACATACATGGTACGTTGCGAATGTGTTAAAGTACAATCGGCATGTCTTTGGTGTGTTAAAAGCAAAATGTCATAATATGCAACAACGATAAATTACAATTACCGAAACCGTGCGGCACCATCGCGGTAGCCTTGGCCTATTCCGCGATGGTAATTTGTTTTCGTAAAATTCCCATGTTGGGCAAAGCTGAAATTGTCAAAAACACCCGCAGAAAAATTACTTCCGACAAGCTGATGGATTGTTGAGAACCAGTTAATAATACGATGGTACCACCAACCAAATAAAACAGAAGTGGACATACAGAAAAATAACACAACACAATACAAACACACACTCGGTTTATTTTATGGTGACGATTCGGTGCCCTAAATAGAAAAATTATTAGAAACAGAGAAGTGTTCAAGAAAACAAAAAATAACTCAAAAATACAAGTAATGGAATGAAATATCTCAGAGGAGTACCAGAAGTCACAAGATTGGTCAGGAATTAAGAATTTGTCCAGCTGGAAACTGAAATAAGTAGAAGGAAAAAGAGAGTAAAAACAAGGAATACATGGACAACCGAAGCTTCTAAGAGGAATGGTATGTCGTTACACCAGAGGGAGAAGACAATAAGAAAAATCTAATCTGCATCATACAAAACTTTGTTTGCTGATGTTTCATGTTACTGTGTATTCTTTCATCATCATCTTTATAGGTCAATCAGTTGGACAGGAACCTCTATTCCATCCTATCCTGAGCTAATTATCTTAAAACCAGAACTTATCCCACATCTTTAACTATTTGCGAAGAGTGATCTAATCTAGGTCTACTATACTACTAATAACTCCGGCTTCTGCCTCCAATATGTCTCTAACTAGCCGTCATCATTCGCCTCTATCAAAATAGATTTGTTTGTTCACTTCTCTTTGCTATAAGAATAAATAATAATAATATAATATTACACAGTATACAAGTGTATTTCTCTCCGGATTATGTAAATTAAAAACAAAAATAATACATTATAATAATCAGTTGTTGTTGTCTCTTAAAATATTAACGATGTTGGCCGTTGACAAGAGCAATGTCGAAATTCAACTGAATACATATTTTACAAACTTTTACACATGTAATAATTCAAACCTCGGTCTAGTGTTTACGTGCGAACTTCCATAAAAATTTAATTATCAGCGAAAGCGAAGGTTATCCTTTCAACTTATCTAATATGCATGGTTATTTTAATCCGTTTATCATGTGATTAAATTAAACTTAAATTGTTAAAAAAAGAATTGTGGAGATGCCGGGGATCGAACCCGGGGCCTTTCACATGCAAAGCGAACGCTCTACCACTGAGCTACATCCCCGCAATGATGGCTGACCAATATTGCTGAAGATTTGAAAATGGCGCGCTGTCTTTATAGGGTTTATATTTTAAAAGTAATTAAAATCAACGCTTTTGTTTAAAAAAGTTATCAT